ATCGCCCATGCAGCGCGACGCGGCGATGCGCGAACAAACGAGAGCACAGTAATATAAAGGTCGGCATTATGAAAATCATGAAAAATTCATAATGTGTGCGAAATAATGATCAAACCTGATATCCGGCATATATACGTACATTGCTCTACATTTTTTAATTTGTATACCGATGCTATCAAAATTGCACCAGAGCGTCGCAAATTGGCGACACACTTGAAAGTTCTCTGCTTCTTTTTGTGTCACTGAGATGCTTGAACTTGGAATTAAAAAAAAAGTGGAATAATATTAATAAGATCAAAGGCAGAAAAGTCATTTCATATAAAATAACATACAGTAATAATTTTAAAAACAAAACTGTAATATAATATTAAGTATTTGTAATATAATTTTAATTATATACGTGCAAAACGTGATGCACAGTCGTTTCTGTGACATATGTTTATTTTTAAAATTTGTCTTAAAATTATTTATAATTTTAATGATATAAAAAAAAACTGTTGTGCAAAGTGTTACAAGTTAACAGTTATTTTACCTCCGTGCTCTGCGACAGTATAGCCATTCCTGCAAGATTTCAGATATTTGATTTTTGTTTCAATTTGCAGTAACACATTCTTCAGAATTATGAAAAAGAGCTATATGAACATGTTTTCTATATATTTAATAATTACATTTTTAATATCAACTTTTATCGCGACGGTAATAACTGATGAACCATATATAATAAGAGTTCCAAAACATGAAGAGTTCCAAACATCACAGACTCCCACAATTCCCGCAACTCCCGCATGTCTTCCTGGTGAATAATATATTACAAGATGTCGCGTAGTTTACTGAGTTTAAAGGTAAGTATAATTTATTTAACACATATGATAATTATAATTTATATTACAAATATTTTTAAACTATAATTTTATCTATTCTGTGTTATCATATTTTCATGATTGTTATTTTTTTAATTGCATTATGCTTCAAATAATTAGTTTTGACAATTTAAAACAAATATAGTTTTATATATTTAATAATAATTTTAATATATAATTCAATTTGTTAAATTGTTCAAACTCTCTACTATGTATTTGTTACTTATATACATATATAAACTTATATAAAACTTATTCCTGCAAAATATTAAGGTTATATTTCTATAATAAAAGAATTCTTAAAATATAAAATGAAAAAATTTTAACATAATAATAATATAACAAGTTGTTAAAAAATTTCTATTATCATAATATAACTATTATTATACAATTATACTAACATTAATTTTTCATTTGCAGGAAAACTGATAGTAATGCAGTTGCAGTTTATATTTGAGAGACAATGAAAATAATTATAAGCAGATATTATAATTTAACAATCTAATAAAGGAAATAAACTATTAATAAAATCATGAAATATGTAATACAGGCAATAGGAGTCGACGCTGGTTATCAATTAGCGTAATTTTTCTTAATACTAAAAATGTAAACCTTAACTTTGAACGTTGAAATAAACTTATTAGGATAAATTGTTTCTTTTTATTTTAGTAATAAATATTTAATTAATATGACAATAAAACTTGATAGTAATGCGGTTGCCTTCATATTTTAGAAACAATAAAGAGGATTATAAGTAATATAAGTAAATATTATAGATTTACAATTGGAAATAAATTTTTATTAGAGATATATTTTATTAAGTTCTTTTTTAATTTTAGACTTGCCATTTTGCACACAACACACACTCACACTATGCATATATAAAAAGACAAATGCATTAATTTTCCTCGACATCTTGATTATCCGACCATGTAAACCAGCCATAGGTCGAATTATCGAGGTAGTTGAATAATAGAGATAATATTTTATTTTATAAAAGAATATATTTCAGATCAAATAATATCAAGTACTTTCAAGAGCCAATACTGATTCAGCGTGTATGTGTATAAATTTATTGTACAATATCGAAAATTAATAAACGTTTCGATCGTGATATTTTATCTAAAATATTTAAGATAAAAGATATTTTATTGATTGCTTTAAATTCTATATAATCAACTCCGGTTTTTCCTCAAATCTTAATTAAACGAAACATAACAATTGTTTGGTATATTGTGGAATAGATACGTGTAAACGGACGCGAAGCACGCACGCAATGCTGACTGAATCGACTGACAATATGAGTGTTCGATAGCAAAATCAAGTAATTTGTAGATAATGCGAGGTCGGTTAATCAAAGTCTTATGCATTTTTATCCTAAAAATTTTAATAAAAGAGCTATCGACTTACTCAGGATTATTAAAAATGATATTTTTAATAAGTCTTTTATAAAATTCTGATATAATTGATGTTATTATTTTCTTGATTAATTTAATCGTGCACAAATATGTATGACTTACATACTTCCTCCCGCCTTCGCGTACTCATCCTAGGAGTGGTGGTTGATCAGCACTCATGTCAAAATGTACATATAGCTTTTTGGAAATATCAGAAGACGTGCTTTACTGTTTTCCGATATCTTCATTTTTAGAAAAATTATTATGAGATTTCTACAATTTTAAGAAATCTTGTACATAAGACTAATTATTGCATGACATTTTATATTAATTTCTATTACAGATCAATCATCAAATGTAAAACAAATTTTCACATAATAATTTGACAGCGATTATCAGCATTATAGATATTAACATTGTGTCAATATATTATTATCAAATTTTAACTTGGGGTACAAAAGAATCTAAGATTAATGCAGTTACATTTCATATTTATGAAACAATAAAAAAATTATAAATAAGTATTATTAAACATATAAACTAACAATTTAGAATAAACTATAAATACATGTATCAAATTTTAATTTTAAGCTAGCAATTTTATTACATTATATAAACAAACTGATTTTATTAAAGCCTTCCTATAATTAACACACACTTCTGACTTTAAAACTTAAAAAAAAAGTAATTACAAAATTTGTATTGAATTATCAAAGTTATATGGAAAATGTGATTTATACATATAAATTTGAAGTAATATTTGATTTTAATACGTGACTTTATCAATGTTTTCTGAATTTTATCTTTTTATATAAAGCAATATATGCCGTATCTGTTTTACAATAATATAATAATAAATAAATAATATTGTAATAAATAATATAGTAATAATATAATAATAAAATGAATAAAAAGTAGATAATAAAGTAAAGAATATAAAGAATTATAAAAAATGTAACATACATAAATTTATTTATTGTTTAAGAACAGATTTAAAAAGATACACACATACACACAGAAAAGATGTATATATTTCAGATTTAATAAAAAAGTAATAATACACATTTTGAAAAAAAGAAACAAAACTATAATATTTTAGTACTTGTAATATAATTTTTATGCATATCATGCATAAAAGTTACGTTGCAAGTATTAAAATATTATAGTTTTGTTTTTTTCGAAATGTTTGTTATTGCTTTTTTTGCAATTATCAGAGATTATCCCTGATAATTATCATACATGTAAATTAAATGGTATGTTTCGGCTTCAAATTTAAGCTATTTTCAGTGAGTCAAAATAATCTCAATATAATACTACTGCAATTTACGCAATTCCGCGCAATTTTTTTAATTTAATCGTCATGCAGCAGCTGTGATGCAAAAAGCAAGAAATCATTGCTCAACACAATTTCTTAATTTTTAATCGTCTTCTGTAATCGTGACAACATAGTTGTAAAACCGGTTGTTCACTTATTGGAACACAGTAATGTATATTCGCCCGCAAAAGACTTTAATAATATCAAATTATTATGGAATCGTGAAATTTCGTCAAATTTATACTGTTATAATCATACTTTAATATATATCAAAATTGTTAGACGTCTAAGGTTAAAAAACTTTTTTTGCCTTCCTGATGGTTAACTATTGAGTGCGAAAAGTACTCTGATTTTTTAATAATTTATTCTAATTGTAAATATGATTCTTTTGCAATATATTTTTATGTGCTCATAGATATATTAGATTATACACCAGATTTGTCTATAATAATTAAATCGCAAAATATACATTTTAATATATTAATGTGACAACGTGATGATAACATAAATTTTGACTTTGCAGTTACACACACACACACACACACACACACACACACGAACTATTAAATGTAATTCCACCTTTACACATGATATAATACCTATAAAATTTCAAATAATGTTGCAAACGACATATAAGAGTCAAATAAAACGTTTAAATTATCATGATTCTTAATAAGGTTCAATTAAATTTTATTTTATTTTATTTTTATGACATATGTATAATTTAAACGTTTTATTTGACTCTTATATGTCGTTTGCAACATTTTTTGAAATTTTATAATATTTAAGAGTCCTATGAATCTTTTTATTATTATATAATGCCTATATAAGCTCTTCGTAGAATTTTTTTATTTTTACATAAAAAATATTAATAATAAAAGTAATGTATAGATACTTGATACAATATAAAAAAATGTATCTATTTTTCAAAAATAGATTTTGATTTAAAAAATATAAATTTTATATTTAATAAAAAATAATTAATCTATTATAAATATACATTTTATAAAAATAAAATGCTTAGTGCATGTAACATACTTTTATTATAACATGTACGTCGCAGTTTTTATACGCATTCATCCGTGACATGTTGTTCAAAATATTTTCAAAATATATTCAAAATATCTATTCTCATTTAAAAATTCAATATATTTTTTCTCTTAAAACTGCAAAAATCATTATTTTATAATAAAATTATAATTTTATAAATATTGTAATTCTGTAATTCATCAATTTTGTAAAAGTGTAATTTGGAATTTGAGGAATTGCTATATAGAATTTCTATACGAAAACTAATATATTCTATATATTACTATTTTTCTTTTTTAAATATTCTAATTATTACAACGTTACATCTTTTTAATTAGGTCAAGTTGTTTTAAAAAAATAGCTTATTAAAAGTAAACTTGAATAATCAATTACCTGTTTCCAACGATAATTTTCTAACGAGTCCTTTATACCATAAAGTTTTCCTCCACTTCAGCCTCACGTTTTGTTTCTCGTGATACAAGGTGTGCAGATGTATGCTAGAATTATACCGCCGCCCAAAACCAGAGCAATCATAGCCAAAGTCGTCCATGGGGTTGAGCTCGAAGTGACGCGAGTTGGCACCAGTTTCTTTATTGCGGGCAATTCGGCAACTTCTTCGGTTGTCAAACCCCATCTTCTGGCCTTAGCGATCAGGGATCTCAGGCGTCGCGACGCCTTCTCGCAAGACTTCTTCGACGTCCGCTTGGATAAGCCGTCTAAACAGTTCCCGAAGTGTCCCATAATATCGCGACGTTTCTCATTCTTGAGTCAATTCAAGCGCTGCAACAAGTTCCGAACATCGACCGAAACTGTCGAGAAGTCCCAGAATCAAATAATGGGCGCGTAAATCGACATGAGAGTCCTATCTTTTTCGCCCAATGCTATATCATGATTTGTGCCATTTTCAAGTCGAGGAAAATATATTATATCTTCCGAAATTTAAACAGTCCTCTCAATTTACGCCATGCTCCGCCTCGAAGAAGAATCGATTTCTTCCGATAAATTAGCATTGTATAAAGACTGATAATACGATCTTTGTTCTGACAAGCTTTATTGATCATTGTGAGAATTTTTCTGCTGTCGTTTTTGGTATAATTATCTCAATAATGCCATTGTCTTTGATACGTTTATCATTGTTAAATGAGAGCGTTAGTTTTATAGTATATAGAAATATCATTTTTATATACTTTCGCATTTAGCAATTTGCGTAGCTTCGTTTTCTAACGTTTTTAATACGTATTCTTTACGAGAAATATTGTACCCCAAAGGAGATTATCTAGAATAACGTACAAATAATACGTCAGTACACAACATCTAGAAACAAAGGACGAAATGTGTTATGCAGTAACTCAATAAAACTACGTAGCGGAAAATTCAAATAAAATTAATTACAATATTAATTCTCTAAAAATATTATGTAAATTAATGAGCGAAATTTTCTCATCAAAATTTAAATCTCGAATAAATGAACGAGATTAATAAAAACTCCAATAAATGTTTAAACCTGCAAAAGCCATATAAACATTATAATATAATCCTTGTAGTGCATATTATAAAATAAATTATTATTTCATAATTCGGATTTCTGTATATTAAAACTCTGTGTAATGCTATTCACGCTGTTGTGAGCGCAAACACTCCATCATCCTCTCTCGTCTTTTTGCGCAATTGAATAACACAGCCATTAATTTGCACGTCGATCCAAACCAATCGGCGAGTCGATGAAACCCGAACCGCTTTTAATTCTCCTTCGCACGACCGGGCACGGGGAAATTGTAATTGCCTAGCTCCATGAATAATGCAGGGCGAATCGAAGGAAGGAGAGCCGAGTTCGCCTTTCGCACGAAGAAAGGAGACAAGAAAGAGAAGGACCGGCAAAAAGTTCCCGATTCACAAAGGCCGTATGTCGCGGAAGCGAATTAAGTTCCCCTTTAAATCGATCGTCGCCGAATCATAGGATTACATTGTCCCATCATCATCGCATGTGGAATACCGTGGATTATGTTACCTACATAAGCGAGCTTTTCACTTTCTCAGGCGTCCTAAGCTTACGTTCCCTTTTCTCACGTCGGCAATTTCAAATTACATGACGATCGACTAACTTTGAATTACATTTATGCCCAATTTATGGAGCGCGTGTTTACCGCCACGGCCAACTGAGGATTTACGAGCGGCGACGAGATAGGTTCGTCCATTTTCCGATGTTTACGTGCCGAGTGTATCGGTGTTACTCTCGTTGATGTATGGAAGCTCGTTCTCGTACACCAGATAACTTAGCCTCGCTCGACGTTTACTTCGATTCCTTAAAACTCGGCGTGTTTCTGAGTTATATGAAAACTGTTAGAAATGACTAACTGCGTGATTGTTATTTAACATATATTTTTAGCAAAAACAAAAACAAGGTATATTTTTTTATTAATTATTGTTTACATTATGTATTGTGTATGTATTAATTAATTTTTTAGCTTAATCTATAAAAGAGAAATTCGAATGAACAAAGACCTTAATTTTATCTTTTGCATTACCTACACTTGTGCAATTCGTAATAAGATGTAAATTGAATGTTATTTTATCTTTCAACAAAATTATATTACAATCTTGTTTGTAATAAAAACAAATTTTTAAATGACCAATATTTAACTATTTGTAATTGTAGATTTTATCAAATTTCTTTAAACAATAAAAGATAAAACTTAATCGAATATCTTTATAACAATATTGTGATAAAATGTGTTTTTAATTTTTGCAACTTGAATTTCTCGCTTCTTCTTTCGCAATATTTCTGAAAAGCAATTCCGCGCTTTCTTCCGAGAAACGCGTCGAATATGTATGAAAACGAAGAAGAATGCACGATAAATGATACGCTTTCTGTTACAGGTAAGACAATTTCACTATATAGTTTCTGCAACGAGACGTTATTCGAGACAATTACGTCACTGAAAAGTGGGCTAAGTACAATCTGCGCTAATAAGTGCACGACTTGTTCTCATTCAGGTCAGTCTTCGTAGCAACGAAAGTATATTTTTAACCCTGAACTATATTTTCATGCCATTTGTCTAAAGCTCAGTTTATGACCTGGAAATAATATCGTTCACGTTCCATGTCATGTCAGAAGCTTATCGCAGTTTTGCTCGACATTTGAGTTATTTATATAACCTATATTGGTTTATATCAGTTTCTTATAATATAAGTTTTTTATATTAGTGTAGAGGGTATTTCGAAGCTACCAGGTCAAGAGATAACTTTATAACAGAACTCGTAAAAACTATTTTAATCAACATAGATCCGCGTACTAATCATCAGTCGGAATATTTAGTTTTTTGTAAGCCAAGTTTTTGATACGGTTATATATACGTCATAGAATTACTGATATTTCGACGATTCCAAATATTAACATAAATTTATGTAACTAGTATGCCTATGTTTATTAAAATTCTTTTCACTTTCGTCAATTTTATAAGCTAGCATTGTCGTGATATATATAAGTTTCGAAATATACCTAATATGTTGCATAAATTTTGACTGTCTTTATATATCAAAGTCATTTTTCACAATGTAGATAACGCATTTATAACGGTCTCGAAATTTGAAAATTATATTGAAAAAATCATCATGCATTCTAAAATCATTTTTTATACAATGAAAATTTATTGAATATGATCACGATTTTTCATCGTGAATTAAGTCTAGAGCGAAACTAACTTAACAGCTTCAATGTTCATTCAATTTCATTCTTATTATGTCAGGTTTTGCCGCGATTGCATTATACAGAGTCTTTAATAAAACTTTTGAGAAGAAACATTGTAGTAAAAAGTAAAATTGTATCAAAAATCTTTTCAATAACGATCCGCATTAACTATCTTTTCACCTATTTCACACAACTAAATTAAAGACAGAAAAAACAATAAACAGCTTACGAAAAGTTTGTATAAAAAAATATATTTTTAATTATTTTATGAATATTACATATTAATTATTCAAATATTATATAACTTAAATTTTTTTATTAGTAGAAAGAAATAAATATAATTTTATTGTAATCTAGATTAAACAAAAATCCGTTTGTAGCAAATTGTTTCAAAATTATTAGTAATAAAAAATAATTATTTTTGGACAAAATATTGTTTCAATAATATTTTATTTAAAATATTCTCATATTAAATCTTATTTCATGAATCTTATTATATGAATATGTTAAACTAAATATATCAACTAAACTTTAAATAAATACAAAAACAATATAACAATACTTTTATAAATAAATGATAAATTGAAAAATTCTTAATAACACTCATATTTTGTACAATTTCATAATTGCATGATAATTATCAAATTACTTAAAAAAAAAGTTTTATAAGATAACCGGACCCTATTAGTATCCAATATGCCTTACTCACTGTTTATGGATAATTACACGATGAATTCAACAGATAGCACTAGTAAGTCGTGCAGGATGTCCATCTGACTCGATTGTATATATCAGTTTACTGTTCAGTCTGTTATTGTTCATTCTGTTATTGTCAATCACGCAAAATGCGGAACATAGTAGTCATGATGTATTATTTGGTTGGTAAGTAACTGCTTTTTCTAATTATAAAAAAATTGTTATTAATTTCCGTTGTTCATTTTATTTCATTGTAAATATTAGGAAATATCATACCTTTTTTTAATACTCAGCAATGTTTTCTTTTTTAAATCATCAGTTTTTTGAATTCAAAAAATAAAAAAGATCGCAAAGCTTAGATAAATTGTATAGGGTCCGGTTACTTTGTAAACTTGCTACTAAAGCATACCTTTTTCTAGCATTTATAGCAATATTTTATCAGCAATTGTCTCTGACAATTGTATTTGTCATATATACAATTCATATCAATCAAGCACATGATTTTCAAACGTTTTTCACTTTATTTATTTGCAAATTTTTTGCACATAATTATCACTAAAATAAATTTATTTAAATTCACATTTTTTAAATTCAATTTTTAGATAGATATTTAATCAGCACAGCGTAAATAAATTAAACAAATTTTTTTACAAAACCCATATTGTCCAACTATAACATCGCCTTTGCCTCAGCCACGTTTAAGCTCTTCACTTAAAAAATACATAAAACAAAAACCCTTGATTGTTCCTCAATCTTTATGTATGAATGTTAAGAAATATATGTCTTGTTTCGTAGCCACGTGACACGAAATTTCGTATGCGAACACTGTATGTTGTGTCTCCGACGGACATCGCGGCGCTTACTGCCGGGGCGTCGAATATCCACGACCCTTTATGCGGCAGAACCATCCCCGATCACCCCCGGACACCCTACCGCCGGTCTTCCTCGACGCAGCGGCGACGCGGTGCGAAGCTATCGAGAGACTGTATGTACATTGGATCTTAATGCAGCTATATGTTTGCAGAACTGGATATCCTGTGTTGGCAAAGCCAAAATTAAGACCGATATTAATCCTTTGACCACCCTCGCTACTCTTTACGGTCACCGACTTACAATTTTAGAAGATATATGTATATTTGAGATATTAAAATCCATTTTGTATGTATACAAAATGGATTTCAACAACTTTATTTATCCAATATGATTGTTTCAGGTATTATTCAGGTATATATCTTTGTTTTAGGTATTATTGTATCCAATTTTATCTCAGAAAATATTTGTTTTAGAAATTTTTTGTAAAATGTGTAAAACTTTATGTAAAGTATACATTTTATTTTAAAGGATAATTAATAATAATTTTTATATCTAAGAATATGTCTTAATATTATATTTTAACAATATGTTTTAATAAAAACATTCAATAATATAAAAAAATTTTTGTTAAGTATTAAATTTATGTAATT